GCGGCGCGTGATGTGTAGCCATGGAGACTAACGTGGAATAGCATGAAGAAAGTTTGTTGTTTCCGTCATTTAATCGAAGTCAACATAAAGTTGTAGGAAATGTATTACTACGTTACACATTACACAGTAACATTGTTTGAAGCACTTTTCTGTTGTTAATATACTCATGCCAATAATGGTTGTCACCCCCTTCAATTTTTTTAATTGGAGAGGGGATGTGAGGTGTGTGTGGGGTTGGGGTGGGGAGGGTGGTGACAACCATTATTGGCATGAGTAATATACTTGGATCTTGTGTAGAAGTAGAGCAAAGTGATACTCTGCCATTCATCCGTTTTCAGTACAGACGAAAGGCAATTGAAGAGCTATATATATGTTTGAAGCATGGGCGGATCCAAGAAATATGACCGTCTCTTGTTCCGCCTCTTGGTTTGAGAATTAAACCATACATTTCTGCTGCCGGCATTGAGCTGGAAAATATATCTCCTTCCCGTCTTCTTTTTTCTCCTCAAAGCGGGTTGTAGTAGCGTAAAATTATTGTCCTCCTGGGAGGGCATGTAAGTCCCGAAACATTCAAAGGAAATTTAATTATTACCAGCTAATTTAAATGTAGTATTCTTGTCAATTTAATTTTGGCTAAATTTGACTTCACTCACCAGCGGCTGAAGGGGTGATGTAAATCCAACTTGGGTCCATGCAGGTTGCAAAAGTACTGTAAGTCCCTATGGTCCCTAGTCTGGTGATCTACCTTCAGTTGTTGGCGATCTATAGCCTGTTTTTATATTGTATTGTCCAAATAGTGCTATTAGTTTTAATTTTCCACACTAGTTTTAGTTGTAATTGTGATATTCTAGTTGTTTTACTGTCCTTCGTCGACAGGTTTTTATATTTTACATATCTTCCATTTCAATGTCATATATTTTCTCGTCACGATATGGCTGAAATATTGCCGATGTGACGTTAAATAATAACTCACTCACTCACTCACCCAAGAAATTTGAAAGGGGGGAGGAGGGGTTTCAGGGGGTTCGAACCCCCCTGAACCCCCCCTCTGGACCTGCCAATGTGAAGTGCTTTAATTCGCGGGGTGCATGTAGAGTTGCTTCCCTTATCCGAAGATTCCATGGTCGCGAGGAAATGTTTATTGTGTTTCAGCATAATGCCATTGGACTTAAACCACTGAACTGACACGACATGGCATATACTCTGCATAAAAAGAGTTTTGCTTCTGTTAAACTTTCATGAAATGGTTAAAAGACAAAATGTGCCTACCAAATTGAAATGTAAAACAAGCTTTCGTAAAATATTTATACTAGGTTATAGACACTATCCAACCAAACAGGTGTATATTTTTATGTGGAAGATAAGTACGTTACTTGCATGAATAGCAGAATACTGACTAGTCGGTGATATTTTATAGCATAATTTTACTGGTTTTACATATGCACAGGTCGAAATAATATTTTCATGTTCGCATTTATCACATAATGGAAACATCCACACATGATGCCATCGCCGTGTGGTAAAAATGTTTAAACAACTTGTACCTTGTCAGCACTCAAGGAATACGTCATGGGATTATTATTTTCTGAAATCATCTCCTTTGATTTGAAGCTGTTAAATATAAAAAAACCATGGTATACAAATGCTGATTCAGATCGATGCGTTGATAGCATTTCAAACGTAATAGAAGTCACGTGTTTGCAGAATTTGTCCCCACTCATCATTTGCGTAATATATTTTTGATACAAAATTACCAAGCCACAGATAGTTTTTACAAATTGTTGCAGGGATAAATATGGTGTAATATATATAAAATAATAAGACAACACTTCTTTTCAATAACGTTATGTTAAATTAGATAAATACAATCATGCTGGGTACTAATAATATGTTTTTGTTAGCCAAAGGTAAAATAGGTTCACGCCGAAGACCCGTGTTCGATTCCCCACATGGGTACAACATGTAAAGCCCATTTCTGGTGTCCCCCGCAATGATATTGCTGGAATATTGCTTAATGAAGCGTAAAACGTAACTCACTCACTTATTTTAAGGCACCCAAATGCATTCAAAGGGCTGTCACGTGATAACAGCGGATATATGAAGAATGTTTTTATGGGAAGAGAAGTCTTTATATTCTCTATTCCCATAGTTGGATTGGTTGATGTAATATACTCATGCCAATAATGGTTGTCACCCCACACCCCACCCCAACCCCACACACACCTCACACCCCCACCCGACACCCCCTCTCCAATTAAAAAATTGAAGGGGGTGACAACCATTATTGGCATGAGTATATGTCCACTTTGTGGTGAAGAGAAATTAGAAACGGTCATGAGAATTCCATGGCGGGAATCTAGTGGGAAGCATATAGGCAGTTTAATCGGGTTGGATCCTGACAATTATATCCTGACACGCCTTGAGTTGCAGTATTTATACCCTTCATCAAGGTCATGATCCTGAGCAATCCGCGAGACATCGGCCATTAACCCGGCATGTTATCAGTAGCGTGTAAACAAACGCTTTCCGATAACTCAGATCAGCTTATTCGTTCAGCTGACAATGTCTGAATTGTGAACGAAAAACGAAATGGCGATGATGTGACGGCAGTGTATTAGAGATGAGAACTACACGAGGTAAGCGTGTCCATTGACACATAAAGCTAGTACCTTTTCCACACTTGCCATTTCAAGTCTATTCTTTTGGGCTAAAATAAGAGACTCCGAGGATGATATATTATGAGCACGTGGTCCGGTTAGAGAACGTTTTACAAAACCCACCTAGTATGGTGATTTACCTTCAGTTGTTTGCGATCTATAGCCTGTCTTTATCTTGTATTGTCCTAATAGTGCTATTAGTTTTAACCTTCCACACTAGTTTTAAATCAAATTGTGATATTCTAGTTGTTTTACTGTCCTTCAATGAGAGATTTTATAATATACACATATTCCATTTCGATGTAAAATGTTCTCGTCACGATATGGCTGAAATATTGCCGATGTGACGTTAAATATTAACTCACTCACTAACAAAACCCACCAGAACGTGGTCGCTACTATGGCCTTCCGAGCCTGCGCAGAAGTGATTTAAAATTAATACAAGAAAATGCTTTTTAGTATACTCTATCGTCCTCGTGGTTTGGTAGACTGTCAGTTTTACCTGAAGTCATGGCGATGCATACTATAGAAATGATCCCTAAAAGTATGATCTTTTAGGCGACTAGTGGGGTCTGGTGGTCAGGCTCGCGGACTTAGTTAACACATATCATCGTATTCCAATTGCGTAGATCGATGCTCATGGTGATGATCACTTTATTGTCTGGTCCAGACTCGATTATTACAGTGGGTGAGTTTAGTTTTACGCCGCGCTCAGCAATATTCCAGATATATGGCGGCGGTTTGTAAATAATCGTGTCTGGACCAGACAATCCAGTGATCAACAACATGAGCATCGATCTGCACAATTGGGAACCGATGACATGTGGCAACCAAGTCAGCGAGCCTGACCACCCGATCCCGTTAGTCGCCTCTTACGACAAGCATGGTTTACTGAAGATCATTATTCTAACCCGGACCTTCACAGGTCGATTATTTACAAACCGACGCCATAAAACTGGAATGTTGCTGAGTGCAACGTAAATCTAAACTCACTCACTCTTGTCCATCACTGTCCGTTTCCAAATCTGTTTACAGGCCGTGGACGCATATCGGGAGTACTGCTGTGAGAAGTCAGGAAACATACGCGAACTTTGTTATGTCGTTTGTGGCCCGTGGAACAGGTAGGGGAAGAAATGCTTATATACCCTTCGTGAACATATTGATTTGACAGCGATCTATTGTTATAATTATCACCGATGATTAATCCTTTACGTGAGTTGGAATCTGGATAATTGAAAGACTATTTTTCGGCTTGAAGTTCTGTATTTGTATGAACAGAACAGAACAGAATTGTATTCTCGTAAATCATACAGAATGATATAGAGAACATACAATCGTATATAATACAATAACATATGAGTGGAAATATTACTTAAGAAATGACTTAGAACAGTTTTAGCAAACAGTGATAGTTTCAATAGGAGTGGGGTATAATCTGATTTCATGAGTGAGACAAATTTGTCCATATGTGGATTATTGCAAAAATAAGAGGGAAGTATCTTCTTACGTTCAACATTGAGATGTGTACATGATAAAATAACATGAAATTCGTCATAAATAACATTATATTTACAAATAGTACATGTTCTGTTTTCTACACTGTAAAAACGGCGTTTAGCATTTAAACACTACCGTTACATGTTTAATGTTAAACACGTTTAGGGTAGTGTTTAATACCTAAGCACGACGGGGATATTACGCCTAATATCTAAACGTGTTTAGATTTTAAACACATTTCTAAACATGTTTCGATAATTTTTCTCATATTTTCTAAACATCATTTGATAAATGTTCTCATATATTGTACATTTTACTTCTATTTCCACTTCTGTATTTCATATCAATATTGATTTGAGACAAACTAAATTTAAATATCCGTGGCTTGACTATTTGTGCAAAAGAACTGTTTTGTTATTAATACTTTGTGACAGGCATGACTATTCATTATAGTGCAGACTTGTTATAACGGTGTCTAAAATAACTGTCACTCTTGTACTAGTTTGCGAACTTACATTGCAAGCACATTACTTGAATCGTGTTCCTGTTGTTTTCTTGTGTTATTTTTTAATTGCATAAATATTTTTTCACAACAAAAACAAATGATTCCGATTGCTATGGATATAATTTCATGGAACATTTAAGTAAACAATATGTTCCTGTTTTGATCATCGCATTAATTGTCTCAAATCATCTGAATATATTGTAAAGAATAATAAAAATTTGTATTGATTTTTATCCAAATATATATTCGTAGTAAATGCCTTTTATTTTTAAATATCAAGTCACATCTGGATCTAATTAATCTATTTTGTAAGGGTCGTTGAAAATAATATCACCAAACATCAATGATCTAGATCTAATGAGTATACAGTTATTTAGATTTAAAATATTGAACTACAAGTTTTTAAAATATTCTGACAGTGTTCAAATAGTTGAACAGTCATGATAGTTGATGAGTATAAAAAAACGTTTAATTGCGAGTATCTGTGAGAGATTTGAACACTCTTTCGCCGTTCCCGAACAGAACAAAGAGTGGACTCAGAGTGGTTCAGAGTAATCTCACTTGCGATGTTCCGCCATGTTTGCTTCCATATTTCCCTAAACAAGCTTTATTGCATCATTTGTATGTCTCTTATCCAAAATGGATGAAAATGCAACGGTAAAAGATGTTTCTGAGTTCCTCAAAGAAAACAACGTGTCAGAAGAAAATACCAAGGTGTTTGAAGGTAAGTTGAGACTATACAAGAAGCTTGCATGGTTTGTTCCACGTGGCCCGCCTTTTTTCAAACTAAAGAATTGCAAAACTGTAAGCTCATGAGCACAAAACCTTTCGAAATTTAGAAATATGTTTTAAAATTATGTCATTTACAGTGAAAGCGTACTGTAAATTGTCTTAAGCACTATAGTATATTCACCCCGTAGCTTGGGAAAACACTATGTAGGCGTACCATGAGACAGGCACAGTAACTCAACACCCCTTTTTTTCTGTGAAGGGGATAGATTTATATATTGTCTATATTACGTAAATACAGATAACTTTGGACCCATGAGAGATAGACCTGTTATAGTTAGCATGTCCACTGGCGTAGGAACGATTTTACAAGCATGACAAGTGGGGGCATTGTGTGTGAAGGGGGTGGGGTGGGGGTTGGGTTACTCAGACTGCTAAGTGAATAGAAGAGGAGCCGCGGATTGTTGTGAGGAGTGTAATGGTGGGGGTTGGACGAGAGAAGATGACCAGTTACGGTATATCCAATATGGGAAACTGTACATTTTATGTTACTTCTTTTTGATATATTTAGCATCTTTAATCAGAGATGCATCATTATGTGCTATTATCAATATATATGTTATATACTAGCCTCAACTTCGGCAAAACATATGACTTCAAGACAGAGCCTGAATGATGATGACCTTATGACCTTATTTATTAGTGCCAAATTTATCAAATATGATATGTGATCATAACTAATTGTTGGGATCGGGGCTACTCAGTTTTGCGGTGTCCCGCAAACACTTCTCTAGTTTAAAATTACAATTTATGCATAATGAATTTACAGATGCATGTTGCCAGCAAGACTTTTAGATGAGATTGATTACTAAAATATTACTTTTGTTTCAGCTTAACCATCCCACTGTTAACAAGGCTAGTAACACCTTGAGACATTACAACATACAGATTAATACAAACTTTGAAGATGAATCAACAGTGCAGGTGTTGAAGTTATTGGAGACAACAATTAAGATCGTGTCAAAATCGAAGAAAGCATTGCCAGATTTAATTACACGAATGGATGTAAGTTAACTATCTACAACAAGCTTTTGTCATTGCCTGAAGAATTGTTGTAGTGTATATATTCAGTCAAAGATTATTTGTAGAAGTTATTTCAGAGAAATGAATGTTTTCATTTAATGTTTTAATATCTGCCATGTGGTATGTCTACTGATACATTCAACTTTCCTTCATTTGAATTTCAGGTGAAAGGTGCCGACTTCTCCTCACGAAGGAACGAAGCACCCAGACTGGTGCTAATAAATGGCACTAACACAAGCGCCTACATTGTAGGAGACAACATACAGATGAAGGTCAGCAACACTGTTCAGGAGGCAATGCTGACACTCATGTTTTCCTACTACACTTGGGATCTAAGTTATCGTAGCCCTAAGAACTTCTTAAGCCAATTTTAACACATTGGCTACGATCAAAGTTAAAAATTCTTAGGGTTACGAACGTTTCGAGAATACGGGCCCGGGTACTGCGACGTTAAACACCTAACAAACATTTTCTTTCTTATAGTGGTATAAGTAGAGCAGGGCTTGAATACCCGTTTTGAGAACACCTGGTGTCATACTGATTTCAAGCAGACCATTCATACAATTTGTTACACCTATTAGCCTTACGTAACCAACTGAACCAGTTTCCACAGATGATCGAGATTGGTTGGTATTATGGAGTGAGCTGGCAGATTGTACCCAATTATCCTGCAATATATACCCACCAGGTATAAAGGCTTTCGCGAACACAGCTTCAGCTTTTATAGCCTTGTAAACATTCACTTACACATTTATAACCACTCAAATATTGTAAGATTTATAACCACCTGGACATGAATACGTTGTTCGCGTACGCCAATATTTGTTATTACCAAGTAAAGCGATAGCGTTATCTCCTGACACATTTAATTGATTATTCGCCCAAGCCTTACAACGCTAGATTAAGAGTTCTTCGTGTGCCCACAGGAACGGGTGGGATGGTGAGGCATATCACCCCATGAATTTAGTGGATGTTCATGCCTGTACTCACTCGTTCGTGTTGAGATTCAGTTATTTACTTATAACCGTGATGTTGTTGGAATTTTACTTTCTTATGTAAGTAAGAAACCTCATTGTTTTGTAGTATATTTTTTTCTTAAGAGCCAACCACGCACACACCCTCGAGCATAATGCACTGATAACGACCACCGTCTAAAAAAACCCACAACTGTCAAATAACACCAAGAAACATCGGATAAGGCGGCTTTTCTGATGTGAAGGCACAGCAGAATGTTATTGCCGTGCACATATGAGTTATATGCAACAACGTGATTAATAACGAATTTACGCATGGTAAAATGCAGCAACCGACGATAACAAGGTCGTGGGGCAAGCTGCTGGCACTGTAAACACAAAGGAATCAAGGCCACCTGTACTTTTTATGCGTTTCTCATCTCCAATCTCAACCAGCACCAAACCGGACGGGCAAAAATACATAAAATTAACCCCCAACATGATTTTCACTAATTGTGTAATTTAGTTGACTGGGCAAGAGCTAGAACATGTCTTTTATCACATCCAGGCATGAATCGTTAAAGCGGCGATAAAAAAGCTTTTGTTATTTTGTATTATTTTACCTATAAATGAAAATCCAGGGCGAGTGAGAGATGGGAAACAGGAAAAACTACTGACAGCCAACAATGCCTCATCACAGGCGATGATCTCAGTCAATGTTGCATTTTCCCACTCTCTTTAAAACTCAGCATGTCCCTGAAGGTGTCTTGCGAGATGTATTTTATCTGAATATAAATCACCTTATTCTGAAGGAGGATATTAGATCGTGCTTTACCTGACGATTACATTGGTGGGGAGTGCTCAGATGGGGATAATCAGGTCATTCAGCTGGCCAATGCAGAACGTTAGTGTTAGTGGGGGATATGGGAACTCGGTCACTTAAACAGTCAGTCATTCGTCTGGTCTTGCAACACTCCAATATCACTGCGAGGGAAACCTCCTGGGTGCAGTGTTAGACTACAATTACAATATACTATTACAGGTGTATGCTTCTGATGAAATTGAAAAACAGACCATACAAGAAATGATTGACAGCTGCAGGTTGGGACTATCCAGGAAGAAAATGTGAGTTGAATTTAACCATAAGAAGAAATTTGGTAATATTTAACACAATGTGTCATAGTATCTTGATCGTTCATATTGAAATATATTTAACATCCATTTAGAAAATGTCAAACGCATATGGCAATTAGGCATACCAATGGTGTTAACATAAGTCTACATTCTCTCATTACTTCTTAACTTGTCCCAATTATTTCAATATCATACATCATATATATTTATGTAGATGGATATAATTAAAACTCTGTCTTAAATAGAAATCCAAACAAACGTAAACTCATAAATTCTTTGATACTAAAATATGTCCATACCTTTATAATAAATTCGCATAGGTTTGATAAATGATTAATGATGTTCCAGAAATTGCATGCTCTCCTATCATGTTGTGTATTATTTAATATTTGTTGTATTCATGTATAAAAGGTAAGGTAGTTAAATAAGCCATAAAGGCTTGTTTACCAATCCATTTTCAATCTATTATTGAATAAATCATGTTTACACTAAAATTTCATTGAGTGTTGTTTACGATAAATTCAACGAAACTTTTTCGGCAGTTGGCCAACTCATTTGTAATTGCAGGAACCCTGGTGAGATGAACGTCAGAGTAACTTTAGCTGAAAACAGACTTTAAAAACTTTAGAAAACAGATACATTTATCATCAATGCCTTACTTTGGTTCATTGCAAGTCATATTTGCTGGAATTTGAACAATCAAGAAAACGTTTTCGCAGTGGCAAGCGCGGGGGCCCCTTCAGGGAATGGTCAAATAAATCCATCCGTATAATATATCCGACCACGACTGTCAGGTGTATCAAAGTGCTACGAACCAGATTGTTTTGAATATTGTATTGCAAGTTATTGGGATGAGAGACTGTCTCCGAGATATGGGATATGGTGTGGCAAATGATATGACCTCCTACCAGCGGGAAGAACTGGGTAGGTTAAGATCGGAAAATCCCGATAAACATTTTTACTATAAAGGAAATAGAATTTTGGAAAGTGCGAGGCGTCAGACCACATCTGATACGCAACTAGGTAGACGTGAAAGTAGTGAGAGACCCGATCTCAACAGGGAGACCCGATCTGAAAGTCAGTCTCCTACTGGTTCCGACACACTGGGGAATGTGTCTTGGAAATCAAACAGGAGAAGCGAGAGGAAAGGGCAGAGAGGCTTGAATAGAAACATTAGTGAGACAGATAGGGATGATATGCTGATTGATGGAGTAGGAGAGTCGATGAGAGTTAGTAGGAAGAACCTGACATTAGAAAACTCCGTGAGAGGAATAGAACAGGGAGAAAGAATAACAAGGAGAGATAGGGGTGTGGTCAGGGCCTATGTGATTCTACTGCACTTCGTTCAACACATTGTATACATAGTTGTGTATTAACTTGTAAAAAAGTTAATTTTGTATTCTGGAATGTGTCCGGACTTTTATCAAAGCTTAATGATCATGACTGTATTCAGTTTATATTATCAAATGGAATCATCGGATTGACAGAAACATGGATGAAGGGTTCTGATCTGAAATCAGTTTTTGCTGACTATATCATTTATATGAAGGATGCTGAGAAAATATCTGCAGCTGGATGACTGTCTGGAGGCATACTTGTACTTGTCAAAAATACTTTATCCCAATACGTAAAATGTATTGAGGTGTTTGAAAACTGTATTTTTGTATTGTTTGATAAACTTCTGTTTGATATTAATAAGGATATATTATACACTTGTGTGTATGTACATCCTGAAGGATCATCGTGGTACAGTAATACAGAAATACAATGTAATAATGGCATCATTATCTTTCAAGAAAGATTATTTGATATACTTATGAAGTACACTGACGTGTATTTATGTATCGGTGGAGATTTTAACGCAAGAACTGGTACAAATTCTGATGTTATAGAGAATGATATTTTGAAGTACACAGAAGGTACCGATAATAGATCATGTGAGCTTTTATCGGATGTTTCGACAATGAAAAGGTATTCAGTAGACAAATGTGTAAATCGTTTTGGAAAATGTTTACTTGACCTATGCGCAGTCTTAAACATTTATATAATGAATGGAAGATGTGATGGCGATCAGGGTGTTGGTGATTTTACATTTATTGGACATAATGGGGCAAGCTTGATTGATTTTGTAATATTTTCCCCGGAGCTCTTTCAACACTGTGAAACGTTTAATGTACCTTCTCGTGCAGAATCATTGCACCTTCCACTTGTTTTATCTTTACAAGCTCCTCACGCTTGTGCTTGTGTTGGTTCGGACGAGGATAATTCAAATATATTTTCTTCCAGGTTTATATGGGATACAGCTAAGAAACAATCATTCGTGGATAATTTACATTCTGATACTGTACAAGGGATATTCGAAAAATCTCTCGTTGTTGCATTTACAAATATTAATGACAGTATAGATTACATGTGTAAAGGATTATGTGCGGCAGCAGATGGAATGCAACGACGAATTGGTAATAAACGTAGAACTAGTAAACCGTGGTTTGACGCTGAATGTGAATTTAAAAAGAAAGAAAGGTGCAGGATTTTGAATAAATTCAGAAAAGATAAGGAACCCGCTTCCCTCCACGAATACGTGGATGCTAGAAATAAGTATAATGCAGTTTGTAAAGTTAAGAAAGAACAATATCATGAACACAAACTTCGCTTATTAGAAGAGTCACTTGAAAATCCTAAACGTTTTTGGGAAGTAATAAAAAGTTTAAAATCCAACTTTACAGAAATTCTATTCCAAGTCATGAGTGGTACGACCACTTCAAAACCTTATTTAATGTTTCAGACCCTGAGAAAGAAGATAATGGTAACGTGTTCAGGCCTTTCTTTGATTTTATTATGAACAATGATGTTGAAGATGAAATTACAACTGATATTCTAGATGCACCAATTTCAGAGTTTGAAATAAGAGAAAGTATACGACATCTGAAGAATGACAAATCTGCAGGAATAGACAATATTATACCAGAGTTTTTCAAGAACGCGGAAGATGTGCTTATGCCTTACCTACTAGTAATATTTAACATTATGCTCGAAAATGCAGCCTTCCCAGAAGCATGGGAAGACCGGTATTATCATTCCACTGTTTAAGGGTGGGGATCCAAAATTAGCAAATAATTACCGCGGTATCACATTACTTAGTATTTTTAGTAAAGTTTTCTTGTATATCATTAATAAAAGACTCGTTTTCTGGGCTGATTCGAAAGATAAAATTCACGAATCACAAGCGGGCTTTAGAGAGGGCTACTCCACCACTGACAATATGTTTATTCTCCAAAGCCTTGTACAGCGTTATATCTCACGTAAAGGTGGTAAATTTTATATTTTATTTCTAGATTTTGCCAAGGCATTCGACTCGGTTGATAGGAACAAATTATGGAAACTACTCACCCAGAACGGCTTGAGTAGCAAAATGGGAAAATTATTATGTAATATATATAACAATGTGAAAGCATGTGTGCGTAACAATGGTGTTATGTCATCAACATTTGATTGCAATATTGGTGTACGCCAAGGCTGTATACTAAGCCCATTTCTGTTCATTTTCTTTATAAATGAATTAGCGTCAGTTGTGTATCAAAATTGTACAGATGGTATTCAGTTGCACCCGGACATTGTTAAGGTATTTTTGTTATTGTTTGCTGATGATGTCATCAAGTACAGTGAAGGGTCTACAAAGACAAATTACCTTGCTGGAAAGCCATTGCCGTGAATTTAAGCTAAATGTAAATGCAAATAAAACAAAGGTTGTTGTATTTAAGAAAGGCGTTAAATTGTCCAAATCAGAAAAATGGCTCTATAACGGAGACTACTTAGAAGTTGTTAAAGGATATAAATATCTAGGGGTCCATTTTGCCAATACATTATCATGGTATCATCATGGTAATAGTGCTGCTTTACAGGGACGGAAGGTTTTTATGGGCATTTACAGTAACTTAAAGAAATTGGGCAATGTAAATTTCAAAACATATTTCAAAATATTTGACACAAAAATTAAACCAATTTTGCTATATGGGGCAGAAGTTTGGGGGTTTTCTCGGTTGGAAACATTGGAAAAGGTTCACTTGTACGCGTGTAAAAAAGTCTTAGGAGTTAAATTAAATACCCCAAATGTGATGATCTATGGTGAATGCGGTCTCTTCCCACTTTATCTAGAAGCGCAGATAAAAGTTATCAAATACTGGGTAAAGCTCTTGAATATGCCTGCATCAAAATTTCCTAAGAAATGTTATAACATGATGTATTTGCTTGACACCAACGGAAAATCAAATTGGGTAACGAATGTTAGAAATTTACTAAATCATTGTGGTTTTAGTGATGTATTTTTGTCACAAAAGATTACCTGCCCAAAGTCATTTTATAATGCTTTATCGCAAAGATTAAAAGCTATGTACATTCAGACCTGGAACTCATCTTTAATACAGTCGCCCAAATGCACTTTTTACAGTACTTTTAAATCTTTTTTCCATACAGAGCAATACCAACAGGATATTAATCTTAGAAAATTCCACGTTTCATTATCCAGATTAAGATGCTCTTCACATGATCTTATGATCGAGAAGGGCAGATATTATAATATTCCAAGAGAAAACAGATTGTGCAAATTTTGTGCACCAAATGTAATTGAAGATGAATTCCACTTTTTGCTGGTATGTCCTTACTATGCTGATTTAAGGACAAAATATCTACCACAGTATTACTATTCACATCCTACCATGTTTAAATTTAATTTGATAATGAACTCTAATAATACAACTTATATTCGTAAACGTGGTATGTATATCCACCATGCTTTTGAACAAAGAAAATAACGTTTGCAAACATTGTGATTGTATGCCATTATTGTTTTTATATTTTGTACTATAGGCCTGTGGCCTCTTCAGTAATGGAATAAAGAGATTTGAATATTGTATTGAATAACGTTACCACTAAAATAACACAATATTGAAATATATTTATCGTAATAAAATGATAGTTAACTTTCATAGATAATCCTTCCGATCATAGCATCAAAATGGTTTGAAGTTATTTTATTAGGAATGTGTTAACCGAATCACCGGGAGATTTTGAGGAAGCGGATGCCGATTAAACTTTCAGTGTTATAATGTAATCGTTCGGATATTTTTTCAGGAAAGTAATTTAATTACATGTATCTACATTTAGCCTTGTTTAATATCATTCATACGTGGAAATAGGGTATAGGTTTTTTATTCTTTGAAAGTGTTTGTTTGTTTGAATAATATTTACAGAACAAATTTACACATTTTAGTGTAGTAAACCATATCTTAACCTATACACAAGTGTTAAAAGATGAAACGTAGGCATCGTGTACGTGTACAACGTGTATTTTAGTTCCTATGATGTGCAATATTCAATATTGGGACCAATATTACAGTTTCAGATGTAACTCTTCGTCAGAATAATTCCCAATATCGAAGTCCAGTCCACGACACACGCTATCCTTTCTTTGCTGAACTAGCACCATGAAAGCAGTGTAGCCATGAGCGCCATTTTGCAAGTTAATCACTCTGTTAAAAAGCTAGCGGTGGTCCTTAGGTGTGTTAACTTAACGTCAAGTTAACATCCTGTTAAAAGTTAACAGAGTTTTGAACAACAAGATAACCCGATGTTATTAGTTAACAGGCGATTAAATGTACTTAACGGCTGGTTAAAAGATAACCGAGTTTTGAACAACCGGGCCCTGATTGCTATTTCCGGCTTAGTTTACAAGAAAATACACACGGTAATCCTTATTTCTGCACATGATAAATAACGCCCAGCAGATCAGAAGATATAATTTAAATGGAAAATCGCTTTAGTTAGTAAAGTTTTATCTCAAAATTCCCGTGTCATCTGGACAAAATATACTTAATCATGATAATACTGGGGTAAATCCGATTTATCTTTATACCAGGTCCCAGGTTTTGGATTTTATTGATCCAGGTGAGATAAATATGCGCCACTAGAGCCCTTGATGTTGTCAGTGCGCCATTGCATATTTCAATGAGTGTATGGCGCTAGGGCGCGGTCCAAAATTCGTGTTCGTGTACGCTTCTGATGAAATTGAAACACAGACCACACAAGAAATGAATGACAGCTGCTTTGATAAGAGTAGGTTTGGAATGATCAGTTAATATACCGAGATAATCGATAATGTTTGACACATGGTATATCTTGCTCGTTCATAATTGATGGACCGTGGATGGCATTAACTGTAGCCTCCAGTTTCCTTTCTCTCATACTGCTGCTAAACGTCTTTGGCAATATTCAAGTCTGATTAAGGGTAAGCAAATACCATTGCATTGCTGCTATTTACCAGTGAGATCCTTGATGACCTGGTGTATTTGCTTTCTTTAGAGTTTTATTTGATAGGAAATGTAAACATGTCACTTTTGTCAACAAAATACATTTACAATTACCTTTTAATGATGATTGATAATCCTTTGAATAGGACAAAATAAAAAATAGTAAACATGACATCTATGTTCTGTTGAAGGCAGTCAACAAGCAACACTATCATAGGAAGTCGTTGCGAAATTTTCTGAACCAGATAAACGCGTAGTGGTATCGGATAACAAGCGTGCACATGCGCAGTGATTGAAACACTTTTGTTGCCTCATTCTCACTGTTTGCTTCGGGAGCAGAACAGGTAAGCACGTACTTTTTAATGCTGAACCAATAACCACAATACGACATTGTTAAATATTATATTGTACACACTGGACATAACCAATAAGTAAGTTATCCGAGGAATTAAGATATCAGTGAACCAGTGTTGTACGCGTCCATCATGAAATAAAATCAATTGACATATAAATGTGGCAATAAACCGCTGACCCGACATGGGGTAATGTATAAGATAATGGTAAGATATGGCCAACACACGCACCTCGCTCGTTCATTATATTCGAGCAAAATGAATTTAACACAAGAAGGCTTAATGTTGTTGCAATCAGGTGTGACAATTATTGTGGTACTTGTGATAACATGATCAAAATTCGGCAATTTAACACAGATACGTACTTCCCTGTCATTTGAATAAATGCACAAATTTAAAATGCACCTACTCCTTAACGCTGAAACAATAACCACGTCAATATGATATTGTTCAATATTATATCGTACAGAATACGAAATTGATCATCTTCTCTGATCCTCTGTCCTGTCGCCAGGCACGTCATGGTTCATCCCCCCACCCATCCTTTCATATGTGATATTTTAGGACGTTACAACGGGTCAGTTCGACATCGTCTTTGTTTGTTACGACAATGTCGGCATAGCTGGTAACTCATAGGCCGATACTGCAGCTAAAGTAGCTCTTGATAAATCTGTCTCTCCACTACGGATACCCTACTCTGATTTTAAACCTATATCAGAGAGTATATTAAACATTTAATGTAAACAAAGTGGAACGCCCATGCTTCATGAAATTAAACAAACTTTAGTTTATGCCTACTTGGGATGTCAATCAAAACATGACAAATTTGTAATGCGACTATGTCGATTTGGCCATACGCGTTTTACCCAAGAGTATTGGTTAAAAAATGAGGATCCTGGGTAGATTTCTCTCTCTCAAGGGATATTTATTGTGATTCATCATCTTTAAAGGATCTTCTTACGAGTGCAAATGCTTATGTAATACTTGTCTTTTTTTCTAAGGAAATAGAATTGTTTGATAAATTTAGAAAAATTTATATTGTGTTAATGTGAAGATGTCGCAACTGAGATCATTGATGGCGTTGCCACTCAGGGGTTAAAGTACTATAAACTCATTGTACCCCTGGACGTGGCATTCGAGTGAATCTAAATCAGTATATAACATCAGCTAGTTAATATTTTGGTTTTTACCATTGGTTAGCATTACGTACAACCACAAGAGACCAATGTGATGGCGAAAATCCTGCTGGGACATCAGTTAGGAAGCAGAGACACCGTATGTCCCCATGATGCCCAGTAAGGTGGTCTAGTTTTGGTTGCTAGTGGTCTATAAGCTAGGTTTAATATATTCTGAACCATCATGTTTAAATACTGATGTGGGTTGTTATATAATTGAACTGTGATATCTGTCATACTGTTTTATTGTCCTTCGTTGACAAGCATTAAATAAGACATAAACTTTTTCTCACCACTATATTGCTGCAATATTGCGATGTAAACATTTAACTCCCTCACACTCACTCATACAAACTCGACATAACCAATCAGTACCTTATGTGAGGAAGAAAGACATCAGTGAGCCAGTGATACGTGTCCATCATGAAATAAAATCAATTGACATAATGTTATTGTGGCAATAAACCGCTGACCAACATGTGAGGTGAGGTGAGGTGAGGTGAAATTGGGATTAACGTCGTGCTTGAGAATATTTCGCTCATATGACGACGTGCATGCGTGTGTATGTGTATGTGCGGCTGCTTGTACATGCCCAGGCTTAAGCTGGTTTTATAGTGCTAGCCCACTGAGATACCACGCCGCAGTGAAGCATGAATACCCCACTCAGACACATTATACTGACTCCGAGCCGACCAGTCCTTGTTGTACCCATTAATGCCGAGCGCCAGACAGGGACCAACAAGTACCATATGTTAACGTCTTTTGGTATGACGCGGTCGGGGATCGAACCTGCGACCTTCCGCTCTCCGGGCGGACGCTCTAACCACTACACCACGGAGGCGGTCCTGACCAACATGTGGCGACATGGGTAATATATGAGATATTGGTGAGATATGGCCTCGGTCATCTAGTACATGTGAATATTCGAGGAAAATGAATTTAACACAGGACGGCTAAATGTTGTTGCTGACGGACGTAATAAATGCTGTGGGACTTGTGATAACATAATAAACACAGATACGTACTTCCCTGCCATTTGAATAAAAGCGCAAAGGGTTAACAGGCAGCTTGGCAACTAAAATATTTAAACTCCTTACGGTTTGGCAATGATGGATGAATAAGACTACAAGATAGGGATACTCACTCTCTCGCACGTACCCCCCCCTCCCCCCTCTCTCTCGCTCTCTCTCTCTCTCTCTCTGCAATATGTGTTATGTTCATGTATAACATATTGAGTTGTTTGTATTTACAGCGACAAGTCACAGAGGATCGAAGCATGAAAGTGTCATCCATCATAAAAACCTCAGTAGTTTGTCTCTCCTTCTTCCTCTGCTGCAGCATTTATTTTGTTTATCCTCATCCCAAGACGGGCCTTGTCAAACAGGAAATCACCTCCGACATTGTTGGAACTATCGCAAACGAAATTATCAAGTTTATAGCCAGAAATATGACAACAAAAACTGATAGATTTGACTGTTTCCTCGGAAGAAAACATTCTGGGATCGATCTGTTGACACAACGCCATGCTGGTGATAATCAAGAATCACCTGAGACTAATGCTAAAAAAGGCTTTGTTTTATGACCGATTACTACTGAAAGAAAAATTGGAATTTAGAAACATCATGAAAACCTTCAGTGAAGGGGTGCCTACAAACATCACTTATTTCCTCTATGCAGGAGCTTTACTTGGTTCCTACTCTCATCACGGCATGATTCCTTGGGACGACGATCTGGACATTATAGTGAGGGAGAAAGACAAGCCTTTACTGCTTACATTCCTGCAGTCCCTCAGGCCAAAATATGACCACTACACCAGCTGGAAGGTGAACTGGAAATTGTATCACAAAACGTCCCCAAAGGCTGGCACGAAGACTTGGAAGTGGCCATTCGTCGATATATTCTTTTATTCTGAACACCCTTCATTCATCCAAGATTGTAGAACAACAAAGAAGAAATTCAACAAGACTGATGTGTTTCCTTTGATCAAGCGCCCTTTCATGGGAATGATGCTGCCAGCGCCAAGACACACCCGTAAGGTTTTGGAGTCGACTTACACCATCGATCTTTGTGTATCAAATTCATACGATCACAGATTGGAAAAAGATGTGCCATCAAAATGTGTTGTGAAACTCCCTTGTGACTTGCTGAAAGACAAATTTCCTTTCGTTGAAAGACAGAAATCAAAGAACACATCTATTGAAGTGTTGGATGCTGCATACTGCAACCAAAGCGTGTATGAAACTACAAATATATATTAAAGTATTTAACATTATTACCTTGTGTGAAGACTGACATCATCATAACAATGCTGTAGAATAGGTTCTGTGTAGCCAAAACCATTTTTTGTTGGTGATATGATACTCAAAGCATTTCTATGAGACAACATATCCTGTGTTAAAACATAAAATGGATCAACTTTACATGTTATATATGTATTTTGGTGGCACTTGCTTAAATGTGCTACTGGAACTTCCGTGGGATGTGTTATGCATTTCAGCGTCTACCATTATTCCCGCACTATGATAGGGTTACATCTGCTTACTCCTTCAAAATATACCTATGTCCTATTTTCTCGTGTTTGGAGTGTTTTCTACGGATATCATGGGAGTGGCAAATATGGATAAAAACAGTGGCGACGTAATTAAGCATTGGTTACCGATGGCAAGGAAATATATCCTTGCATGATCATAAAAACAGAGTATCTAAAATAAATAGCTGGCACTTTTGCCATTGAATCAATATATTTCAGACAGATATATTTGCACAGTTTACAGATAATTCCTCTGACAGAACGAAGTCGCGCCTCATTATCGTATACGGTGAAAAGCAATAAAATTTTCACAATATAATATGTCCAGTTGCATGTTATAAGTGAATATTCGATAACGTTTATTACCTTTGTTTTGGTTTTTTCCCCCTTCTGTTTTTGTTGTTGGTGGAGGTGTGTGTGTGTGTGCGTGTGTGTGTGTGTTGCCGGTTTAGACAGGTCTCACTGTATATCTACCGATCATGTCAAAGCTAATGTAAAGAGGATATACAAACCCATGTCATATTTAACTGTAAATTGCCCGGCGGCATATTCCCTAGTATGCCCTATTAAAATAAAAATGTAAACTGATAACACAAAAGAATAAGGTTCAGACTATCTTTCGTTCCAGTGAGCAATAAAGGTGAAAGGATGAAAATATTTCAATGAATCATTGAGAATGAGTGATTAATACAGGCTTGGAAAGAAGGTTCATACGTTCTGGTCTGGGCAGCATTCGCCACTCATACAACTGCATGTTAATGTTCTAACGTCAAAGTACACATACCATGCCAATGTTGCCTGCATCAACTGGAGTCTGGACAAACCAATACAGTGACATCATAGCGAGTTGACTGATTTGGTTTATTACTGGAAACGTAATTTCAGTACTTTTATGGCATTCAATAGCAACAACGAAAATAAAGGCTTGGTATCAGCAACATACCGTTTAGCCCCCCTCACGAAGTTCAAAGTATTCAAGTCATAAATATTGCATGGTCGATGTAAGTCATAATATACAAATTTAATGTAGGTGCGTTTTGAAAATTGCTCTCGCTTACAATACATAATTGAAAGCATCAGTGTTATTCAAACACCAAAGTGCATTTAACTCATGTTTTTTTATGCAAAGTGCGTTCCTTCACGCTCAATACGCACGATTCTTTGAAGCTTTAAATCATGTTATGTGTTAATGGATGTACATGATTTCTCGATGTGGCCAACGTTCTATCGGACCTCAACCTACAACTGGTATGTAAATAGGGCAAGATCGCTGTATTGTTGCCTGGCGAGATGCAATAAATATTAATTTATACCCCGTGGTATGCTAGACTAAGGTAAGCGATCACAAGCCCCCTTTATTTGCTACAGTGGGTCAACAAGTAGACTTGAAAGTTGAACCGTTATCGTGGAGGCCCTCTACAAATTGGGATCCGGTTGTCATGCTCGCAGACTTGGTTGACACATAGTATCGTATCCCAGTTACAAAGATCAGATCTAACCCGGATCATCACGGGTAGCCTTCCTTTCAGTGAAAAGATACAACAAATGTAGCCATATGTACATATGAGAAGTCACAATAACAGGATGAGAAAGCCACTATAACTAGGTGCGCCTAGTGGCTGCAAGAGTTGTATACTGCCCAGGGAGTTAAGATTGATAATACGATGTGCCATTGAGATTGACATCCAATGATCGAGGGAAAAATATCAGCGCCTTGAGCAAGCACTAAAGTACTGTCGGAAATAGAAAAAAACTGTATTTTCTCATTTATCTCTACAATTTATGTGACAGTAGTTGATATGTGCAAGTGTGAAATATATGTTAAACTAAGTTCAGCCTAACTACAGTCTCAGTGGTAGGGACATAGGAAACGTAGAAAAAGGGCTTTACTGAGGAGAGATTAGTGCAGAAATGAGCAATGGGGTTTTTCTAAGTCCAAAACGAATTATTTGGAACAGACCATGGCTTTATACAAATTAGTGTGCGACGATATTGTATTACAAAGGACACTTTTTAAATGCCCATTATGAAATTAGACGTAGCTTCATTATAAACGATAGCTGGCGTAAAAAATAATAACTTTCATGCTGAAACTATTAAGGATGTAGCTATCATGGAGCCTCACTATCACTATAAAAAGAAACAGATAGGAGGGTTCGTCTCAAAAGCAAAACCTGGACGGGTATCGCAGACGATCGTTGGGGTCGGGCTGGGGGGTAGAGATATCAGCTAAGATAAGATAATCCTTTAGGGCAAATATACTGGGGAAGTACACGGCATGTCATAACAATTTACAAATAATATCCAGTCGTGTCGATCTTCGCGATTAGGTGGTCATGCCACCTATATATTTTGAGACATGTAATACGATGCGTTTCTATGGTTATCAGGTATCATACTCTTTTACATATCTCAACATGAACGTTATGAAAGAAAGACACGTAAGATTTTAATCAATAGATGAGACATAGTTAGCATACATGAAAAAGCACAAAATATCTTTGATATGATCCCATGTGCCTGTAAGGCAGCACATGCATTTCATGCTAGGTGAGTCGACGGTCCGTCGTCTTACCTGGCTGAGCGACCTAATTGCCATCTATAGTCTGATCTACTGTTTTCAGCAACTATTCGTATTTTTTCTAAGTTTTGCCCGATTTTGCGAGTAAACATGCTTTTCCGGATATCCTATTACGCATCCCACTGAATGCCAAGTTAGGCCGAAGTGGGTTATTTCGACATATGCTATTTGCAGTTGTGTAAATTTTAGGGATACAGAGTAACAGCCTAAAAACAGTTTTTTTCTATTTCCGACAGTACTTTACTTGCCTGGATATGTGCGCTGTATAAATATCCTATAATAATAATAATAATAATAATAATAATAATAATAATAATAATAATAATAATAATGACCGTCTGACCAGAAGGATCATGTCTGATAACAGGGCCCACCACCCTCGTTCCTTCTCTTAACCGTTAACATGCCAATCAATTCTGGAGGTCGGGGTTTGATTAATGTGGAGACTTTTGATGATAGAATTTTATTGTGTACTTTTGCACATATTTATTTATCCGATGATCCTCTAGTGAAGCATGTGAAGACTCATGATGAAAGCAGGGAATTCCACAGCTATTTTAAGCGTGCCAAGGTTGTTGGACAGAATCTGAGATTTGAGGTTGATTTTGTTGATGGCGATGTACTGCTGGACGGTACAGTGATGGGAGTAAACCAGGTGAAGTCCTTCACCAAGTCTGCCCAGAGTCGGTCTTTTTTGGAGAAGCTTTCTGAGAAGCCATTGCATCGTGTGTACATGCAGTGTGTTGAACAGAATAGCAATCCCACCGACTCCTTCGCCTGGATGAAGTCGGCTGGTCTTAAATGTGAAACTGAGGGCTTCCTTTTTGCTGCTCAGGACCAGTCACTTCCCACTCGCAATCGCCTAAATGTGATTCTTAAAGAAAATATCAATATGAAATGTCGATTATGTAATGAATTTACAGAGACTGTCCAACATCTTGTCAGTGGATGCCCTTCCTTGGCACAAACATCATATCTTAAACGACATGATGGCATGGCTCGTTGCTTTTACTACCGTCTCCGACATGCCTGTGGCTTTGACTCCGAGGTCCATCCATGGTACGACCCTGAACATGTCCAGGGCGTCATGGAAAATGATGCTTTCAAACTTCTCTGGAATAGGCCCATATACAGCCTCAGAAGAATTCCAGCCAACAAACCTGATCTTGTCCTTTTTGATAAAGCCAATGAATTTATTTATATCATTGAATTTTCTGTCCCTTTTGACACCAATGTGATTGGCAAGATTAAGGAAAAGCATAATAAATATGCGGACCTCGCCTTTGAAATGTCTCGCTTGCATCCCAAGTACACTGTCGCCAGGCTCCCCATTGTTCTCGGTGCCCTTGGTTTGGTACCTCCTGATCTCTTGGCGCAGATCAGGAGAGTGGCCGGGTTCTCCAACGGGAGTACAGCCCTTCTGACTCTCTGGGTAATGCAGAAGGCTGCAGTGTTGGGGAGCCTTCATATTCTCCGGAAAGTTCTTGGTGGGTTCGACTAGGCAGCGTTTCCTGGGAGAAGTCCCATTCGCTGTCTGGGCTGCGTGTAGAGGGGGCAAGGGCCCTGAGCTGATGATGAGCCTTACCAGCCTGACTGTGCCAGGATCACCCAAACCCTCTCTGCTGCATACTATCTTTAATCTGTAAAATAATAATAATAATAGCAATCCCACCGACTCCTTCGCCTGGATGAAGTCGGCTGGTCTTAAAAGTGAAACTGAGGGCTTCCTTTTTGCTGCTCAGGACAAGTCACTTCCCACTCGCAATCGCCTAAATGTGATTCTTAAAGAAAATATCAATATGAAATGTCGACTTTGCAATGAATTCACGGAGACTGTCCAACACCTTGTCAGTGGATGCCCTTCCTTGGCACAAACATCATATCTTAAACGACATGATGGCATGGCTCGTTGCTTTTACTACCGTCTCCGACATGCCTGTGGCTTTGACTCCGAGGTCCATCCATGGTACGACCCTGAACATGTCCAGGGCGTCATGGAAAATGATGCTTTCAAACTTCTCTGGAATAGGCCCATATACAGATTCAGAAGAATTCCAGCCAACAAACCTGATCTTGTCCTTTTTGATAAAGCCAATGAATTTATTTATATCATTGAATTTTCTGTCCCTTTTGACACCAATGTGATTGGCAAGATTAAGGAAAAGCATGATAAATATGCGGACCTCGCCTTTGAAATGTCTCGCTTGCATCCCAAGTACACTGTCGCCAGGCTCCCCATTGTTCTCGGTGCCCTTGGATTGGTACCTCCTGATCTCTTGGCGCAGATCAGGAGAGTGGCCGGGTTCTCCACCGGGAGTACAGCCCTTCTGACTCTCTGGGTAATGCAGAAGGCTGCAGTGTTGGGGAGCCTTCATATTCTCCGGAAAGTTCTTGGTGGGTTCGACTAGGCAGCGTTTCCTGGGAGAAGTCCCATTCGCTGCCTGGGCTGCGTGTAGAGGGGGCAAGGGCCCTGAGCTGATGATGAGCCTTACCAGCCTGACTGTGCCAGGATCACCAGAACCCTCTCTGCTGCTTACTATCTTTAATCTGTAAAACATAATAATAATAATACATGATTTTGGCAGCAAATTTGTACTTTTTTTAAACTTTAACAATTAAAGAACACTAAAAATACCTGTATGTGGTAGCTCTGTACCATGCCATTAAATGACGTTAACATTATTGACTAGCATTGCAGGAAACACAGCGCAAAAACTGTCTATCCTAGTTGCAGAGCACTACTTCTCTATTAGTGAGTGAGTTTAGATTTTATTTCACA